TTACGTATAAATGTTCACAGAGCTTTATTTGTAATATCCAAAAAAAGTCCCAAACAACCTAAATATCTGGCAACAGGTGAACGAATTAACAACAAGCTGCAATTTATCCATGCAGCGGAATACTAGTCAGCAATAGCAAGGAATGAACTAGTGGTACAACACAGAATTAATTTCAAAATAAGGATGCAGGGTGAAAGAACTCAAGCCAAAAGGGGCATCTACTGCATGATGTCGTTTATGTAAATCTCTAGAAAATGCAAACTCATCTGTAGCAACAGAGAGATCAGTGGTTACTTGTGGGGTAGGACATGGGTGGGGTGGGAAGGAGACTGTTATTAGGAAAGGGACAAGCAGAAACGGGGGGGGATGTATAGGTACATTATCTCAATTGTAGTCATAGTTTCATGGCTTCGTGGGCATATTCATATATCAAAACTTAAAAATCGTACTTGCTAAATAGGTAGTTGTACTTGTACTTGTACTTGTACTATGTACTTGTACTATGGTTACAGTGTTAAAAAAAATTGATGAGGGCACCTGGGTGGCTCAGTTGGTTAAGCCACTGCCTTCGGCTCAGGTCATGATCCTGGAGTCCCGGGATCGAGTCCCGCATCGGGCTCCCTGCTCGGCAGGGAGTCTGCTTCTCCCTCTGACCCTCCCCCCTCTCAGGTGCTCTCTGTCTCTCTCATTCTCTCGGTCTCAAATAAATAAATAAATAAAATCTTTAAAAAAAAATTAAAAAATTGATGAGTACCTTGGCCCAGATCTCACTTTAGTAAGTGGTAGAGTTAGGATTCAAACCCAAGTTTCTGGCTTCAGAGTCCATGCTCTTAAGTCTCAGCCACTAGGGCGCCTGGGTGGCTCAGATGGTTAAGCGTCTGCCTTCAGCTCAGGTCATGATCCCAGGGTCCTGGGATCGAGTCCCACATCGGGCTCCCTGCTCCTTGGGAGCTTGCTTCTCCCTCTGCCTCTCTCTCTTTCATGAATAAATAAATAAAATCTTTAAAAAAAAAAAAAAAGTCTCAGCCACTAAATATACAGGAAGCATGGCTGCTACTATTATTATCATTATTATTTACCCAATCCTAGGTCTGTCCTTCATACACACTGACACTGCCCCCAGAGAAGCAAAAAGACTTGTCAAATTTCCCCTAGGAGTGAGCAACAAACCCGAGACTCTTGCCTGCACATCCTGACTCCCACTCTGGAGCCCCAGGCCTTCTTCTCTGCCATGAAACCCCTGGCCAGTCAATACGGGACAGCAGGTGGTGCATTAAGGAAGCACACCGCACGCCCCCCTTACATCCTGGCACCATCACCTGCTGAGTGAGAATGGATCGTTTATGTGACACCTTAGTTTTCTCATTGGTCTACGAGGACATAAGAACAAAAAATGCCCCAATGTGAATGACAAATTATAAGGTCACTTCAGCATTATTTGATCCTGGGACACAGGAGATCACCAAAAAGGAATAGAGGACATGGAAAGCAGAGGTGAAGGACCGAAAACCAGTGTTACCACTTTAGGACTGTCCGAAGGCACTTCTGGAATCCCCACCAAGAGGTGTCGAAAAACAGAGCACTCCAGCCACCCCGGCTTTCATGTTGATGGGCCGGGAGGTGCCCATCTTAGAAAGCCTTTGAGAATGTTTCTCCCCTGGACTTCAGGAAGCCAATACAGTAATAACAGGATCCAGGCTTTGTGTCTTTAACAACCCATTTATAGGAGAAAGTCTTTCTGGCATCTTAGGTATTCTCCTTCCCCTCCCTTTTATTCCTTCCACTTCCTTCATTCCAACTACCTAAGCACCTCAGATGGAGAGAGTGAGGAGGCCTCTCTTGTGCCCGTCCCAAATCAATACTATGTTCTCTCTCTCTCTTTCTCTCTCTCACACACACACGCACACACACGCACACACAGAATTCGAACTATTCAGGCAACTTTTTATTTTAGTTTGGAGCTCCTCCTTAAGAAGATCCTAAAACACAAAATCACACATAAATAGTTTATTTGAGAGGAAATCCCGAGAAACACTGTCAAGGAAGTGGGGAAGTGAGATGGGGAAGGGAAGACGGCTGATAATAGACTTGTTATCAAGCAAGTCATCGCTGTGGACAATTAGAGCTTCATCCCGCTGCTATCTCTGGGAGCCAGTGTAGAAAATACACCCCGGGGTCCTGCCATCTGAGCACTGAGAGAGCTGAGCTATTTATACACTAATTCCCATCAGTCATTGACCGAGTCGATGCTGCCTTTAACAAGCTGAACCTAGTGAGGGAGACAAAAATTTAAACAGTATAAGCTCCTCGATGGCTGCTCTATGTCTTATTCAACCTTAAACTCAGCCTGATGTAGGGTGGTTTCCTGACACTGGGAGCCCCCTATGCTGAAAGCAAAGCAGGAGGCCAAAGCAAGCTCCAGCTACCCGAGAGAGACTTCAGGCAAAGAAATGCAGCTGCTGGCATTGGGAAGGTGGTTGGCATGCACTGAAGGGGTCAGAGTGAGGGTGGGACATCAACACTTGCTTTCCTAGGACATTACAGCATCCCTTAGCAAGCCTGACTAACATACTTAGTGGAGCATGCTCACCGGATACTCATGGGCTCACCCACATTTCCCAGCCATGTAACCAAAAGACTATGAGCAGAAGCGACATGCATCATTTCCAAGTGAAAGTATTTATGAGTCAGTATGCAACCCTTCTACCCTCCCTTCTCTATAGGAGCAACCTAAAAGCTATACGTCCCATCCTCGATCCTGGCATTACCACCGGGAAAGGGGCTGATCCAGAAGGCTGAGGGACCCATGGCCAACGCTGCAGAAAAGAGAAACAAACCTCTATGTTCAGCCCCTGAAATGTCCAGATTTACTTGTTGCTGCCGCATAGCTTAACTGAGCCTGTCTAATATGTTAAGGTCTTTTGTCCTTCTTTTAAGTTTACATATTCATCCAACAAATACTTACAAATAAGCTAACATGTAATTATGATGTCCCGGACAGTATTTTTGGTGCTGGCGAAACAGCAGTGAACAAAAGGATAAAAATAGGTCTGCCCTTATGGGGCACTATACATACTAGTGGGAAGTCACCCTTGCCATAAAGGGAAAAAGTTTGTTTCTCCTCACAGTCATTGTAAGAGGTGCAATAGGAAATAAGCGTCTCGAGAGAAAGATGTTCTGGTATGTTGATGGGAGGAAGTCCATTGGTTGACCTGTACAAGGCAAGGATGTTAGACGACGAGAAAGGAAAATAGCAAGGCGAACTGCTCTTTGCATATTGTTTCAACATATGGGCCAGGCTCCGTGCTAGATGGTAGAGATCAGAAGGTAACTTATGCCATGCTTCACAAGCTGAATCTAGTGAAGGGAGAGAAATATATACCAAGTATAAATTCCTTGATGGCTGCTCTGTGTATTATTAAACTTTGAGTCTCAGCCTGACGCACGGTAGATGCCCAACAAACATTTATAAAATCTACTAAGAATTACATAATACTGTTTCACTTGATCTGAAAAGAAAAACCGCATTAAAAGAACAAATCAACCCATATCTCTGCTTGTCTTCGCCCTCAGCTTTTGCACACCAGTGCCGAAGGAGACCAGGGCTAGGACTTCCTACATCACTCCTGGAGTGCGTGGCACATGGCTCTGGAACAAGCAATCAACTGAAAGATTGGGCTCTGGGGATATGAGCATCAAAGAACCAACAGCTGTCCGGAGCTCAACTTGAACTTGAAAGCTAGATAGAGTAATCTGTAAGATGGAATGTGAGCCCTTGGGACTAAAACTCAGTCAGCAACCTTCCATTTGAGGTATGTCCCGTCTACATACCTCAGTGCAAATGGCAGCAGTCTGTTGCAAGGACTTGAGAACATTTCAAGAAACTAATACCTCTAGCATTGCCCCAGGCTTAGAGGGAAGTAAAGGTACCATGTGCATCCAGAAAAGAAGTCAAATTGGTGCCTTTGTTATGTCTTGGGATCTCTTGTTGCCATATTCTCACCACCAGGGATGTTCTCTTCTACCCACTTGCCTCTGTCCTGCTGGGACTCTCTTGGTGTCTGTTGAATGTAAGCAGATCCTAAGGAAAGTCTTTGGCAGATTCTGCTCTGGGAGAACTGACAAACTTAAGCACTACAACGTCTTTCATGAAGTATCACAATCAAAATAAATCAAAGTTGTAGAACTGCATACACATTTACCATTTAGCAACACAATTTACAGCAGGGTTATCCTCCCCCTGAACACAGAGCACCCTCAACCTCTTCTCTAGGAAATATTAAAGGTTCAGGACATCTCTGACCTAGGAGTCACCACTCATCCAGGGATCTGTGGAGAAGAGAGAGCACTAATTCCCCCTATTGGACCATTCCCATTTGGGAATGGTTCACAGGGTGTCACCTCTGCGCATCCTTGTGCTCACCGGCTCCCACTTCTTAATGACTGTTCGATTGCAGGTAGATTAGCACTATTTAAAACACAGAATATCTGCAGTGACCACTACAAGTTACCAGCCCCTTTTATCCTCAGGTCAATTCCTCTTAGCTAACAGCTTTGTCTAGCCGATAAAAAGCTCCGTGAAATCTAATCCAAAGCACTGTGAAGTTCAGCAATCTCTTTCTGTTAGATCTACAGCCTACCCTGTAACTTACCCCAACAGTTGGAAATAATATTAACTGACCCCCTCATAAGCGTCAGAAACCAGTTGCTTCTCACTACCAATCATCTATTTTTGGAAATAACTGCAAAGCAAGCATATGGCCAGTCCTAGCTCTGACTCTTAAAAGCAATGCCCGTTGGTCTTTCGTCTGCCCCTCATTATTTGGTTCTCTTTCCTATCCACCCACCCCCTCCTATGACTTTAGCCCTAAGGACTGTTTTTCCTCTCTTCATTCCCTCCCCACCCCCAATCCTTACCCTTGTACCACAGCAAACCACATCTTACCTATGTGGAATGCAGAAGAAATGTTTTCCTTTTGATATTAAAAAGTCCTCCCACCAATTAAGTAAACATTGGCCACACCGCAGAGCTGGTATGTTATTGCAAAGCACAGGAGAGCACAAAGCCGGAGTTTTTGCAGAGCTGTGTCAAAAGGAACCTCAGGCTTTGGCCTCACCTCCAGGGAAGAGATGAAAACACTCTATGCACGTGTCAGAATGCCAAGTGCAACCATATGCATGCATTGCTACAGTGTCAGAGGACATGACTGAACAACGGGATCTTCTTACCTATTTGCTCATGGGATTCCCTCTCCTCCTCCCAGATGGGATCCAGGCTCTGATCAAACATGGTGCTCTTGGAGGTTTATCTCTGGCGACAATAGGTGGACCCTGGAACCCTGTGGTCAACGGGGCACTTTCATAGTCCTGGGCTTCAGGAACTGCGGAACAGAAGGCTGAGAGCCAGACTCTGCCACAGGCATCAGCCAAGTGCACATCTTTCCCGAATTTCTGAGGGTCATGACGTTCTTAACCACAACTGTAAAACAGGAAGGTGGGACGAGGAAGCATTTAAATGATTCTTTTCAGCGCACCTGTGCGTCAGTGCAGACAATTTGCAATTGTCTGAGATGAAGTTTCAATATTCAGTCATGCATCATTGAGCCAAGGCTGTCTATTCTCAGGCTTCACAGAGGGAATGTGGCACGCTGCTCCCGCCCTCTGTCTGATGTGCCTAATGGTCCAGGAGGCCGTTTTGACTCCCCTTCTCCATCTCCCCATCCCTTAGAAGAGACAATTCCAATTCTTCAACAGAGCCTCAAAGAGGACCCAGAAATAATAAGGTCCCCATGTGAAAAGTCGCCTGTGGTACCCATAGGGATTCCGCCAGTTATTAATAAAAACACCGCACGGAAGGTTTCCATTTTCCCCAGTTTCTCAGTATGTGGTTACTTTTGTCCACGGCATCCAAGGGTGAGTTAATTTTATTAAGAACATTATGAGACGGCTAGCATGTCAGAAGTGGACACCACTCTCTCTCCAGCCCTCTATTCTTGGTAACATGGTTACATATCGGCTGGCGCCAAAAGCCAGTTGCGCCTTTTTTCAATCTAACAACCACTCTGTGGATAGCATTTGTTTTCCATTGCTGCCAAAGAGACAATCTGGCTCTCATTTCCTTTGAAGAAGAGCCCATTCTGATGAGTCAGGTCTACAATGGGAATAATTAGGTCAAATAAATGAGCCCTTCCAGCTGCCTGTGGCACCACTCAACACCCCCATGTTGCAGATAATGGAGACAACGTGGGAGCAAAAGCAGAGGTTATCTGTTGAGTTATACCTACCTCTTGCCCAAGGGACGTTATCAAAACGTACGCAAGGTAATTACGGCTCCTCTCTTTGCATCTGGAAAAGTGAAAATGGATCCATAAAATCGTGTGGTGGTCCCACTGCCTTCCCAGCCTACAAGAGAGGGCTCCTATCCCATGAGGAAATGCAAACCAGCTGGAAGGTCTCAAGACAGGCTTCTGCATTGTGTCCCATTTGTCCTCATGGACTCCCAGTCACCTTCTCCTGGGCTGTCATGTCCACTGGCAGGAGAGAGAGGAAATTCAGTGAGATTGGAGTCATACACCAGCTCTTGTTAATGCTCTGCTCAAGCTGGTATGTGCAGCTCATCACTCAGGCAAGACACTCACATAGTCTATCAGTTTGCTCAACAACCTATACACATGGCAGGAGATGAACCTGGGCTCGGATTAGAAATGCCAACCTGTTACCCAGATTCGGGAGTTCCCCCACCCAGATCTGGGTGGCAGGAAGTGGGGAATAGAGAGAAAAACCTTTATAAGGTAGTCTTTCATCCAAGAGGCTCATTACTCGGGGCAGGCGGGGAGGAATCTTTGTTTCTCCCTCATCTCTCTCTTTTTTTTAACTTTATTAAACCATCTGGAAATTACTATAATGTAGGAGCTCTCAAAAGTTGCACCACCAAATCCCACCAACCTGGGATGTTGTACCTAATGTTGATGAGGGTCACGGACCTCAGGCAAGGGTTAATGACACATCTCACCCTACATCAGCCTGACCAGGCCAGGTGCTCTTTCCAAGCAGCATGTTCTCGTAAAGATCCCACCACTTACTTTTTAAATCAAAACCACCATCTGAAGCCTCTCGTGCAAGTGATTATTTTGAGTTGTGGTTGATTTGTTTCCCCACAGGTTCCATTATTTTGGATTATGCCAGCTCTACAAAAAATAAGAAACTTCTTCTCTGAAAAAATAAAAAGTTAGGGGCGCCTGGGTAGCTCAGTCGGTAGGCGTCTGCCTTCAGCTCAGGTCATGATCCCAGGGTCCTGGGATTGAGCCCCACTTCAGGCTCCCTGCTCCAAACGAAGCCTGCTTCTCCCTCTCCCACTCCCCCTGCTTGTGTTCCCTCCCTCACTGTCTCTCTCTCTCTCCCTCTGTCAAATAAATAAATAAATAAATTTTAAAAATAAATTAATTAATTAAAAATAAAAAGAGAAATTCAGCTGACATTGAAGTAATAGGTAGGAACAAAACCACTGCTTCCCAGTCCTTCATGCCTACAGGGATGGACGCATCTCACGCCTACCAGATGGTGGATGATGCCCGAGTAGAAGCCCAGGAAGGACAGGATAGCTGTGAGCCTCAAAAATGAGCCCATTTCCAACTGTTCTGGGGCAACTGACTGTCAAAGTCAGCGTACCATAAAATATCTTTCATTCAGTCACCCAGGAAAGAGGATCTCATAACCCTGAATGAAGAGGAATTACTTTTTTCTTTTTTTAAATCTCCTTCTAGCCTTTAAACAATCTCATTCACTTGTCTTGCCCTAATCTAACTTCCTCTCCTGGGATGTGTCTTCAAGGCTCATTACTAAGAAATGCTGGCATCAGCCACATCATAGGCTTAAGACTCCAGCACCTCTGCTTCCATGAGCAAACCTCAGCTGTTGCAAAGTGAAGCCATATTTCACCTCCCCCAAGAGGCCAGATCTAAGCTATAGCACAAACTCCAGAAGGATGGGCAGATGCGGGGTGAAGAAGGGAGACTCCCTCACTGGGGCAGGGGAGCTACTATAGGTCCCCTGCCACCCCGTGGAGCACACAGCTAGCTTTGTTCTGCCATCCCAGGCCAGAGGTGCAGCATGGTTCATGCATACACCAAGTTCAGTATGTGCTTTAGGTCAAGGCAGGAGTGGTATGCTCACACGTGCAGCCACTGAAGCCTGGGATGGGGCTCAGTGAGGCGAGGAGAGGGAGTCGAAATCGAGCAGGGCCCATTAATTCATCGAGCAGGCCCTTGTCTGAGCTGGCTGGATTAGAAATGAATTCCCAGCAGGGCGGCCTCATGGCGTTGCTGCTATAATCGGGGTGGGGACCTCAAAGAGTTTTAATTGCTGGTAATACAAATGGAACAAAACTTTAAAATGCAGTTTCCTCCTGGTTCCCCCCACCACAACCACCCTGTGTCATCTTTAATCTGCATTTGGGAGGATATTAAGATTTGGGGTATATCAAGAGTACAGAGGAGAAGGAAAATCCTGTGATGTGAAATATTCTTTAGCAAGAAAAGCAATCGGAGAAGTGACTATAAATCCACTTCCGCTGTTTGTTCTCTTTTCTCTACCTCTGATTCCCCCCAGTAAATAGTAAAAAGATGATGGCTTTGGAATTCATGTTTTTACTGGAATTGGAAGGAGCTTTATCAAAAGAAGTCCAGAACGCTCCCTTTTCACCTGAAGGAGGACAAGGCACCCCCCACCACCACCATTGGAGTACCAGGTGGGGGGGGGAGGGGTAGCACTGCTGATAAGCTCTTAGCAATTCCCCTATTTGCAGACACTAAAGAGCCTTTACTTGAAAACTGATGAATAAGTTTTCTTTTGTGTCATAAGAATAGGTGACCTTTTCCCCCTGAATTCCCATCCTGGGGGCCAGGGAAGAGAGCCCAGGATCCCTTCTCTTGGCCTTCACACCGTGGGAAAGAGTATCTAGAGTTTAAAAGCCTGATAAATGCCCTCGAACAGCTTTGAAAATCACTCAGCGTGAGCACTTGCCCCCTGAACAAACATCCACGTTGTATCGCGACAGGCATGCCTCGGGGTCTTTGACCCAGTCACAGACACAGAGCCAATTTCCTTTGTCAATAGATTCATGCCACTTGTCTCGCTCCTGAAAACAGTTTCTAAAGAATTCTCCAGTGAAGTCAGTTTCCTAGGAGAATCCATCACATCTCCCCAGCAGATATTTCTACCTTGCAAACCATTAGATAAACTTAAAGAACAAATTAGTCCTCACGGTCGGCCTCCCCAGCCCTTCCCCAGTTCACTACTTAAATCACTCTACTTTCTCAGAGGATCTGAAGCAAGCTTTCAGATCAGAGCCCTCCAACCAAGAGCCCAAGTACATAACTCATAAGAACAATCGCCCAACAACTGTTTCTTCAATTTCTCACATCTGGTATCTGCTCCCTTGTGAATGGGACAGCCACCAGCAGGAAGGGTTAGGGTGGGAGTGAGTTAAGTCTCGAAAAAAAAGAGGCGATGGAAAAGCAGAGAGATCAGAACTGTCTGGGGAGGCAAGTGTCGGTCAAGGGCTCTGAAACCCTTCACATAGCTCTTTCTACTCTGTCTTGATTTTGTCCATGTCTCCAATTTTATGTACTGGCCATCCTAGAAACTATGAGCTCTGCCTAGCCAGTTACAAGCAACTGCTAGTTACTTGAGAAAAGAGTCTGTTCCTCGGCAGAATCAGAACAAAATCTACTTTGATTTGCTTGGTATCCCGAAACTGAATTAAGCATCGTTAATGGCACGGTATGATAAAAAAAAAAAGCACTGACTTAGACATTAGGGAAGCCCGAGTTGTGTACTTTGCCTCTGCTGCTTGTCAGGCAGTGTGGCTACTCACCGAGTCTCTGCTTTCTGCTTTGTAAAACTGAAAAGATGACACCACTTACCTTGTATGAGTCAAATAAGAATAAAATGAGAAAAAAACAAAATGACAGAAGGTTTTTAACACACTTGAACAGTGTCATAGTAAATAGTGTCTAGTTCCCTCTATCTTTGATGTACATACAACTATAACCAGGACCCCATCATTAAACTGGTTCTGACATCTTGACTTGTCATGGTTTCCTTTATAAGAGTTAACAAACAATGCCAGTCGCCAGCCCTGTTACCCATAATCGTTGTAATATTGATGCACCAAAATAATAACATGGTAAATTATAAAGGCAAGTCATTTCACACAAAAGGAGGAAAGGAAAGGCTGGAAAGAGATGAGAAGTAAATTCACAACTTTAGCAGCGTAACCTCTCAAAGAAAGAAGTTTTCCTGTATTTTAATATGTCACTTTAATGTAGAGTATAATATTATAGAAGAACATTTTATTAAATTATAGAATTTCAGGGTTATAAAGCCCAAATCCTTCCACTGATACCTGAATACCATGTGAAATACTTTTTACTTTTAATTTACTCTTTAGAGTACTTTTTTTTAAAGGCTATTTGAGGATTCCCTGAGGTAAGCAAGATGGTCACAATCCAGGAATAAGAGGTTTGAAGTCATGAAGGCAGGTAACTTGAGACAATCCTCTTGGTTCATACAGTTCATACTGAACTGTAACTGGATATATGCCCTATAATTTCTCTTTGGAAGAGATAGGGGGATAGAAGAAATTTACAAATCTAAATGTGCTCCCTCGTGGGCACAGCCACTGTGGACTACAGACTGACCATGCAGTGAAGGGTGAAGTTCAGCTAGTTCATGTGGCCCAGAGTCCATGGCATCCAAGTCCCCTGGGGTAGATGGCTTGGTGGTGGTGGGTATGGAAAATGGGGCTCCAGCCTGAACTCCTGAAGACGGTTTCTTTGAAGACAGTTCTGAATCTTTGAAGACAGTTCTGAAATTAGCATTTTGCACAAAAATTCACATTTTTCATAAATTCTAAAAGTGAAACCCTATTTATAATGTGAAAAAAAAGTGATGAGACAAAGCATTATACTCATCATTGAAAAGAGGCAAAGGAGCTTACGTATTAATGGAGAGAAAGAGGAAAAACAGAAAGCCAGTCATCTTAATGTGCAGATGTGTCATAATGTGCCATTTAAAAAGCACCCATGTAACTCATTCCCAACTCAACTGCCTCTGGGAGAATCCAATTAGAAATATTACCCTGTGCCTCTAAAATGAGTCTCAAAGTTTAGTCACATTTAAAATAAAAGTATAGAAGCAGAAAATATTCATTTGCCTCAATATAATACTCAAACACTCAATACTACCTTTTTTTAAGAGTCCAAACATGATGTTCTTTAGCAAAAGAAAAGCCTACTGGGAAAATAATATTGTTTTGTTGGGTCTGAATGCATCTTTCTAGAAAACCAACTATGCTGCACTCAGCCACAGGAGGATAAGTTCTTCAGAAAGAATCTCAGCAAGTTGTTTAACTTAAAATCACAAGCAGAAAATTTTTTTAATTTCCAGGAAAAAGAATCAGCACCCTCTTCCAGTTCACTGAGAGATGTGGGAAGTGTGTGTCATATTTACCAAAGGGTAAATGCTTCCT